GAGTTTTTTCCCCCTTCACAGATCAACTCAAATCAAATAAATAAACCTTGGGTTTCAACTGCAAGGTAACAAGGTGGTTAAGACTGAAATTTCACAGAAATAATTTAAATTCTCTTCACTGTGGAACATCAAACAAGCCAACAGCATCTCTCGAATCCAAAATATATATTTTACAGTGCATGTTAGAAATGTTAACATAAAAACATGCGTCATAAGACGAGAAGTGCGTTCAGTCCTTTTAACGAGCGTGTATATCTGTCACCGGTCCTTGATGACGGGTCCGGGCATCACTACCTGTTTAGTATATTCTAGTGCTGCGCCGGTGTTGCTGTAGCTGTGTGGGACGCGTAGCATTTGTTGTCCTGCACGGTATCTGCGGCACCCGTCCAGTTTGCCCTACTTCTGTGATTATGATGACGATACAAGTGTTCTCTGTTCTTTGTTTTAAAGTATGCACACCTTAAAGTATATTTTAGAATAAACAAGCTTGATGGACAAAGACATGAATCTTGCAATAGGAAATTTGACCTTTTTAGACTCATTGGCCTCTGTATATAACAAGCTCTGCTCCAGAACCGTTATTTGCACGGACCAACCATCCGTGTCTGAGAGCGCAGCCTTGTGCGCTAGGAATAGAGAAGCCTTGTGAACATTAATGGCCGGGGAACAGTTATGAAAATATTCCTTTCCTGCTGCCCCCAGTCAAAGAGAGGGCACAGGGCTGACTTGTTTTCGTCCGTTTTAACTCCCCCAGGTTAAAATTCGATGTATATTTAGGAGGAGATTGAGCTAGAACAGGAGGAGAAGAAAAGCACGAAGAGGCTGTCTCTGTTATTGGAGACATCTGACTCAATGTTCTCCAAATGCCTGGACATATTTTAGCCATATTTAGCCACACTCATGGTAAATTTCACTTACGGTTATTTAGATACCATCTTAAGTGACTATTAGTAACATTAAGCTTGAGAAATAACCATATGACCCTCATTTTGTTCTTTTATGTGTTGCCGTGCTGCAGTGAGGCCCGATGGACAGACGTGCGTTATTTTAGTACCGCGGTTTGTGGTTAAATGCGGACATAAGCATATATTAATAAAACGCTTAGCACTACTTTGGTTACTGACCTGTGTAAAAATCTTCTCAGAATAATAAAAATAACAAATCTCTTTAATGTTTGTCATGACAACTCCAAATTATGAATCCCACAACACGCCCCGATGGTCTGTAATTATTGTTCAACCTAGAGCCAAATTAACTCTGTGTTCCTCGGCCAGTGGTGTGTGATACGCTATGAACAACCCGGATGACTCTTCTATTCTCGAGCTTCAAAGTGGGCAGAAAGGAGACAACGGGAGCCCACGATGATGATTTTTCTCCACCATCATTTCCTCCGTGTAAAAATGGATACCCGCTGTCTGCTTCCGGTGGTCACGCGGGGTTGTGCGCTGTGCAAACATTTTTCTCCGTTGGCTCCTTTTATTTGTGGCAGCCGTGCGGCGGGGGTCACATGGTTGGTGCTCACACGGCACTTGTTGCACAACCCGGTCTCACAGCAAAACGTGTAATAGCTACGTTGTGCACCAACGTGGTATTGTCACGCTTTGTTCCCCCAAAGCGTGACAATACCACATTTTATTTGCAACGAGGTCACGTGACTCTCAACTGTCAGTCTATTATCTGTGAAAAACACAATATTTTAAGAAAGCAGCAGCATTTGTATGCATTTCGATGGCATTTCTAGCAAGAAGTATCAGTTATATTTTATATGTAGAAGACCTTCCGTTTATTAGTTTCTAGTGACGCAGAAGGCAATGTAAATGAATGGGCCAAAATAAGACGTAGTATTGTCACGATTTTGGGGGAGAAAGACGTGACAATACCACGTTGGTCCACAACGTAGTTATTACACTTTTTGTGCGGTGAGACTGGGTTGCGTTGCGTCAAAGGCCTCTGAAAAATGCATTACAGTGTTGAGGCTGGAAACTATAATCAATAATTGGTAAATGCATCGGCACCACATCTTACCGCAAATGACGACGCTCTCTGTTGATGCTTAATTTTTCAACATTAGCCCCCCCCCCCCCCCCATCTTCCTCTTCTCCCTCTTTTTTAGCACTAAACTGTAATGGCTGTTTTATTGTGACTAATGGTGGCACTAGAACCGCACTTACTTTGTACTTGGTTCAAAGCCAACAGTGTGGGACAAATGGAGCGACCCATCCAGTAGTTAAAAAATAAAAAGTAAAAAATTGAAGACCTCTTCGCTCTGGCTCAGTGCTGACACACAAAAGGAAGCATTGATATGAGGAAAAGAGCACAGGACTGGCTGACGTAACTGTTTTACAAACATCAATTTAAAATGCAAATGGTGGCACATCTTGTACTCAAGAAACCTACAGTGAGCCTGTTTTAGGAGAGTTCTGCGGTGCCTGAGTGACATTAGTATTTGAAGAGATTTAAGAAATGATTCTGTTTTTAATGTGATGTTGACATTCATGCCACGTTTTAGAGATTGAATGATTTTAAAGTTTGAATATACACTTTAAATCCTTTCAGACACTCTTAACTAACATGGTCAGTTTCTCTAATGCTTAAAACGAAGAAAACAATCAAAGAGCATATACATGCATTGTGAATGCTGTGTTTATTTGTGGCATGGCAGAAATGAATACAAAATAATAAAGAATGAATGTCCGTCTGGGTTTGCATGATGAGAATATTTTCACGTAAAACAAAGGCACCAATGGGAAATAAGGGAATAAAACCTTTCACAAAGAATTAGAGCGGCACTTTGTCATTTTGTTCTTTTTGCACCACCTGCTGACTCGGGTTTACTTAAACTCCCCTTAACCGCAAAGCCATTGTTTGTACAGAGGGCTGACTGCAACTACATGTCATGCTAGATTGCTAAAACCACGACATGTTTTTGGTATTTCCAACTAGAATAGATATCTAAATTTAGAGCGGGAGTAATGCCTAATGTTTTCTTGTGTGATTGGGCAGAGAGGTTGGCAGTACAGTCCACACTGAGCTCATATTCAAAATGACAAAGCCTGCCAGTAAAAATAAATGCAAACCAAGTAGGGAAAATGAATATTACAATGTATTTGGGAAGAAAATCCCTAGGGTTTGTCCTGTTACTTTGGTACTGCTCCAACAGGACCTTTTTTAGTGATGACGTAACATTCAAACTGTATTCTAAGAAAGAAAATGGGTTAGTTCATGTTTTTTTAGAAACAGTAATCACAATTATTGTTAATCTGTGTCCTCTGAGCACCATGTTAAATCCAGAGAAAATGGGCATCCATTAACATTTTCCACATTTTTCGGTGCCACAATGGTGCCTCAAAGAAGTGTTTTTAATCTTCTGATACACAGCACAATGAACAGGATAAAAAGCGACAGAAATAAAAAGGTGGAAAGCTGGCAGCGGATTTAGACCATTTTTTGTAACATACTTGATAAGTTAGCGAACGAGAAGTAGTGGAGAACGCACCAGTTTTATACGACAGATGTGTCTCCTCATCAATCATCAGTTGTATGCAGTCGTTTTTGTGCATAGAAATTCTGTGCCAGCTCCTCTAAAAGTCCCTCATTATCACATGCAACAACACGAATTGCATTCTTCAGTGTGAGATAATTTACTGTGTGTTCAGATTTACGTCTCCTCCTCAAACCGTCATTATCGAGTTTCGTAGCTCAGAGAAATATCTGAACTATCTAACATTTAAGATCATTCAGAGACCTGTGATAATCAGACACACGATTTAGAATCTAAATTATGTGTCTGATTATCGCAGATCTTGCAGCAGAGTTTCATTCAGATCCTCTGCTATGTTTTGCATATGTCCAACCCCCTCATGGTTGATGTGGCAGGGCTCCACATACCAAAGCGCGAGGGTGGGGTCACCTAAATGCCCTCATTTCATTGCCAAGAGGGAACTCAGTGGAAGGTGGTTATTCTATATTTACTTCAACCATACAGTTACTCCACCCTCCACGCGTCCCACATAAAGCCACTTTAATATAAGAGTTTACGAACGCCGAAGCTCTTCTCATCAGGTTTGGACTCTTTAGAAGCAGAACTGGGAACACTTTTTTATTGAAAAGCAGGAATCAGCCCAAACTAACCAGATAATGATCAGTTGATGGGAGAGAATAACCTTTGTACCGTGATGTGGTTTTGCCCGGCAACGTGGGACAGTTCAGATGAGTGAGTTAATAAGTGTTTAAGCGAAAAAGTCACTTTTTAAGGTAAAAGTGAGAAAGGCTGTGCACGTGTGCCTCCCTGCGGGTGGGGTCAGGTGGATGAAAATGTCTCGGACCACATTACATGTAAAGCTGGTAATTACTGGGTTTGGAGATTTAAATAGCAGGGCCCACAGTGGTAAACACACTGGAAGTCCGGGGCAGCTGCCTCCAGTCTCCTTTCTTCTTGTCTCTTGAGAGAGAAACTCGTGCAGAAAGCTTGAACATTTGGTACAGAACCAGAACCAACAAAGATGGACAAATGTACCACTGCAACATAAATGTAAGAGGCTTCGTAAAGTGCTCGTCCTTCACAGCTAAATGTATGAAACTAACTCCTTTTGTGCACAAAACAGCTCAACAAACTCACAGTCTCTAATGGAGAAATATACCAGATACCAGAAGTGTTCGTCAGATGGTGGAATACGATAAGAAGCCCGATTCCCCTACATCATTCCAACGAAGGGGGTTGTTTTCCAGAATGGTCTTACAACACATTGTACTGACAAATGGTTTGCTAGCATAACAGTCATAGTCTGATGCAACGCAAACATAACCAACCCAGTTTTCTTTTGCGTAATCTATGGTTATCTCTTGAAATGGTCTTCAACGTCTGCTTCTGGGTTGGTTAACCTCTTTGATCAGTAATGAAAGATAACTAATGAAGGTGAGAAAATGAAGACCTTTTGCTCATGACAGTTGAATGTGAAAAGTAAACTGGAATAACGGTTTTGCGACAGTTATGAAGGGGACGTGTTTTACAGTAAAAGAGTTTATTGTTACAAACAAGTTGCCAAAGGCAGAGATTGGAACATTAGCCAAGAGTCTGTCAGTCGAGACTATCGGGCCTCTTTTAATTACCAGCCAAGAGACTTATGTCAACAGATAGACCTGCCGACAAACCTTACACAATCCTGCAAACCAGCTGCAGTTGGAATGTTAGCAGAACAGTGGCAGTGTAAACATCTGTTTTTACAGAATGTCCAATCACAAGGAAAGCCAATTACAAACATGCATGTGCAGCACACTGCGGTATATGTGTGCAAGAAAAGCCCCTACAGATGGCAAAATAGCCTGTGCACATTCAGAGTCCTTATGACTCTCAGCAGAAAATAAATAAATAAATCAACACGGGACATTACTTAGTCTCATCAATAAGTGGATAGAACATTCTCACGTGCATTGCGATACAAAGCAGCTATTCTTCTTTTTTCTTTATGTAAAAGCTGCAGCTAAAAAAATAAGCAACGTTTATTTTAAATCAGAGGTTCCATGAAGTGTAAAAAAAAACAGTTTGCTATTGTTCACAAACACATCTCCCGTGGGAATTGTTTCTATTGGCAAAGGCCTGCAGAACAAGCCAACGATACAGTTTGGACAGAGAAAATAGTCTGGAGTGCAAAAATAAAGATAGCTTCCTATTTTCCCATGTGTAAAGTCTCTATATACACTCTTGCTTCAATGTTAAAAAGCTTTATATGCACTTTCTGCTTAACAATACATTTTCTAGATTTTAAATAGTACACATTCTGAAAATATGTGGCTCTCTGTACTAGGATAAATTACCATAATAAATATGTAATTTTTTCAGTTTCCTGCATCTGGGTTCAGAGTTCATCTTCGTGAAAGTTTATAAAAACTTGAAAACTTTGTCCTCAATCAAACTAAAGGACTTATCTCTTAGCATTTCTTCACTGCTGACAATTTTATACCCGAAAAGCTTCAGCGTTGGTCCACAAACTTTCTGCACAACCTGGGCTATTTTAAAAGGTAAACTGAACCTCCATTTCTCCACTTGTTCTGAGGAGTTTTTCTGTGTGGAGTAAACGCCGCTGGTCCCCTTGGAGGCCTGGGTGTTCTTCAGGATCCAGGATCTCACCTGTGGAGTGAGCGGGATCCCAGCGAACCTGTACATCTCCGCCGCCTTCCTCAGGGGGAATCGAGCGATGTCCTCGTACCTCACCAGCATGTAACGCCTGCGCAGCCACGTTGGCTGTCTCAGGCCGATCTCGGCCGACATCCTGATGTTGTCGCAGTTCCCCTTCAGCTTTTTCACTTCATCGTTGTCAATCGGAACATCCCCATCCACAGCCCACTGCTTCCAGTTCTTGTATTTGGCCGCAAAGGCCACCATGCGCGAGGCGAGCACAGCCCGAGGGTCCCGAACCAGCTGAATGAACCTCACGTCGAGGTGCGGGTCCTCGGCCAGAGGACGCAGGTTCTCCAGCTGGCGCACTCTGACCGACTTGATCACCCTGTGCTCCTTTTGGAGGCAGGACCCAGACGCCATGGTCAAGTTCAAGGGGCCGCAGCGTCTGTTCCTGCAGTGATAACGCTCAAAGACCCCCTTGATGGCGGGGCTGCAGACCGAGGCCTCGCATAGCGAGCTGCTGGACGACCTGCGGAAAAGAGCGGCGGTGGTGTGGTCCGCGGGGAGGGGGTCGATGAAGCGCTCCAGCAGGGAGAAGTCACACAAGAAGAGCCGCCGGAGCACATCGCGGTACGCCTTGACCGCCGCCGTGGCGTTGGTGCCGCCGGTCTCCAGCGTCAACATCTTCTCCACGTGCCAAAGCGGCTCAAACAGGTAGAACATGTTGTCGCGCTGCTGGTTGAAAAACTCGCCCACTAACGAGGAGCCGGTCCTGGTGGTGGCCAGCAGGAGGATGTGCCTCCTGCCCTCCGTCACCACCTCCTGGTGCTGGCTGTAGTCCACCAGGCGCCGCTTCATCAGCATAAAGGCCGAGTCCATCTTGCCGAGTGGGGCAAAGGAGCCATTGTGCTTCGGCAGCGTGCGGTAGGAGCCACTGGGCTGCAGAGGAGTCTGGGAGGTCTGCTTTAAGGCGAGCTTGTCTGACACCCTGTGAGAGGAATCACAAAGCGTTGTTCTCTTTTACCCGTCATGGCCGTGTTATTCGACATGACATTTGCAGACACGTTATGTGTACAAGTTTCCTCTCGTAATTTCTTTATAGAATACGAGAGAATCGCTAAAGCACTTACCTTGAGACAATGCTGTTCTCCTTCTCAATGATAACGAGTGCCACAAAAAAGACGATGGGTATTGTGTATTTGATCCTCATTCTTACAGATCGCTTCTTAAGTCTCCAGCTGCCTTCTTAGAGAGCCTTCCGGTTATGTGTGTTCCCTGTTGTAGTAGATGTTTCATCCTGTAAAGGAAATAAACATGAACCTGTCAATCACACATTTTGCACATTTGAGCACGGCGGAGTGTAAACCTGCGTTGGTGTCAATTCCTCCTGTCGAAGTACAAGTATTTCTACTACTCGTGAATATGGGGAAGTTGGGGGTTTATCAGTAAAACACTGTGATGCCGAGTCAGCGTTGTCGTAGTTAGTAACTTCTGCTTCTCACCCCTTTTTACACCGCATCACTCTACTATGTTCTGCACAACCAACAATGGAGGCATTTACTCCGAGACAAAAATAAAATATCTTCCAGGGTAAGAATAAAACTTAGCTAAGTGTTTTAGGCTGGACTCAAAGCCAGTTCTTACAAGGAAGTCGTTGATGACTTTAAGTGCACCGGTGCATATCAGGAACATGCCCACCCACCCTGCAAGACAGTTGAGTGGCGCACATAAATAAAGCTGCGGTTACGAGTCAGTCAGTCTTTGCAGAGAAACAATTGCGAGGGCACAAATGAAATATAAGACCCAGACTGCAATCAAACCCAATTATGTGATTTAACTCTAATCCCACATCTGCAAAGCTGCCTGCTTAAAAAAAACGTGTCTGGCTTAGAGTGATCATCCAACCTCCTACTGATAGTACAAGTGTGGTCCAGACCACCAGCTGCAGCTCAATGTCAACACTGGGAGCAGATCTTTTCAATGGAGGCCCTCCGTGACACGTGGGCTTCTGGTACAGCAGACCATCTGGTGACAAGCTAACGACTCGCTTGCTTTCCCATGATGTGTCTTTGTGCTTCCGATTTGTGACTGAAGGGGATACGGGTCCAAACGCTGAGCGGTATAACTGCAGAGTGCTGAAATTGAAGGGAGAGGCCTGCTTGTCGTTGAGACATAAATTGCAGCGCTCTGTGCCTGCAGGCCGTTCAGTTACTTGCGTTGCTCTGCAGAGGGGCGACGGCGGCGGGGAAGTCAAATGAGGCTGAGAATGGGTTTAATGGTGTCTATCGGTATGCGGGAAAGTCCTGAAACATAATATTGTAAGATAATGGCAGCTTCACTCGGGACCTCGGATTAATCTCTGGATTTTAGCAAACCTCGTCCACCAAAGAAAAGGTCAATAACACGGCGAAGACTAAATGAGATCGTCTCCACCCTGAGGAAATTGGCAGTATGTCAGTTTGATGTGTGCCCACAAAAATGCCATGTTAGAAATTTAGAAGCATAGGGGTGTACTTTACAGTCTTTTAAAAATCTAAATCAGACGCCTGGGTCTGTGAAAGGATTTGTTTATTGGATCCGTCAGGTGTCACGCACAGGCTCCTGTGTGTGTCTGTGTCTGATGTTGTTGTTTTTTTATGGATCAGTGTTAAACGATTGCTGAGTCCAGCCTCTGGGCCAACACATTAGTGAAAGTGCTGCTATTAATCAGCAGAGCCAAAAGCCAACAGACCGACCTTTCCACTCAATAACTACAGCAAGGCAGTCACATGTTTGACACCTAAAACAAGCAGCAATGTGTGGGGAAGCTTGATAAATGAGCATTACATTCTGAGTTCTGATTCGCCCCGATTGACGTTGACTTTCAACGCGTCTGAAGGTCCACATCTCTCGACCTCTGTCCCAAGCCAGTCCCGAATGACTGACATCCAAACACACTGGGAACGGTCGGGCATTTGCGAGACTGAATAGGAAGTTTACAGCTGCGGCAGTGGACCGTTGACGTGGAGCGGCGTGTGAGGAAATGGTGAACAGCTGCTGTAACTGAGAGACGTTTTCATCGGGAGGATAAAAATGAGCTCTGCTCCGTCGCCACCCTGCCGCATGTCACAAACACGAAGGTCTCTTTACAGGGGAGTGACTGTAAACGTGCTTTGCGGCTGGGATAAACTGCCAGGTCACTCACACGTCACAGGGTCAGTGAGTAACCGTCCCGATGTTACAAGTCGCCCGCGCCACAGGAAACAAGTCGGTTATTTAGTTTTAAGTGGTCGTTTAACATTAAACAGTTCACAGTCTGTAAGTAAACCAGCAGAAGATCTGAGTAAATATACCGGTTTATTTCTTACACCACCTGAACCAATTAAGACAAACACCAAAAATGATTTTGCCTGATAAATAACACATTAGTGAACAATTAACTGTTCTTTTGGTGGAAAAACATTTATTTACTACTACTATGTGTACTAAAGCAGTTTTATTTTTCTCCTTAATCAATTTTAAATAAACCAAAAAAAGCTACATCAACAACTTATCAACAAAATAAATGGTCTTAGGTTTTGTCATTTATATGTTAAATGTATGCCAATTATCTCAGTGTATTGCATCTGCTGCGTAACGTGAAAAAAACACACATGAGCTGACATTGTTGAATATTCACAAACCACTGAGGCATGTGACACTTTTGATCATCTACTCATAACAAAACTGCCACTGCACCATTTATCATCTTGCTACAAATGCTTTTAATAGCTGCCTCTTATTTAATGCAAATCTATGTGAAGACAAATTAAACACCACCAAGCCAAACCCACTATGGCTGAGATTTGTCATCCCATTCCAATCCCCGTAACAACAGGCAAAGGGATTATTTTAGATCCTCTCTTAAACACAGTGAGTTGGCGGGACAATTAAAGAATCTCAATGTACAAACATAACAGACTAGAAAATGTAAAAGTTTTGAAATGTATAAGATGAAGAAGATTGTGTGACATCCTGCTCCAAACTTGTCAACTGTCACTTTTCCATACCGGTTATATTGTTTTTGGTGTAGTTTAATGGGGAGTGACGGAGGCCCTTTTTTGCACTGAATTGATTTAGCTTTTATGTTTACTTTGCTAATTGAGATTTTACATACAAAACACATCAATAACATATTAAATATGGGATGCATTGTTTAAGGTAGTTAGTTAGCAGATACAGATATTAATAATAAATACAGATATTCCCATCTGAAGTGTTTCCTTTACCCTCCAGACAGAAATCTAAATGTACAATGATCATAAGGGTAAATTTGACACAACATTTCATAACCTATACTGTGATGCGTTACTTTCAATGCTATATGTATTATGATAGAATATTTATGATAACTGGTGTTCAATCACCATCCTGTTTCATTGGCAGGTTTGTTCTTGGTGAAGTGTACTGATCTGTTTCAGGGAGAGTTAGATCATTTAAAAAAACATTTTTGTTAGAGAGATAATACTAGTCGCCTATATGTGAAATGTTGCCTTCAAACTCTTAAAGGAGAACAGCAGGCGACGGACTTAATCAAGGTTGTCATGGTGTTTCCAGAGTCACACTCATAGTAGGCTTTAAATGCATTGTATTCATTTATAAACACATCGGTGACTTAGCCTGTAACATTTCCCTTCAAAATCAACAGATTGGATATGAACCTCAGACCAGAAAAAGCCGGATTTCACAGTGTTCGGGGGCCTCTGGAGAGCATGCGCTATTTCATTCAAAGGTCGAAAGGACAAACCGGCTGAACTGAAGTCATGCTTTCCTAATAGGAAGACACCTGAAAAGACAAGCCTCCTTCCTTTAACTTTGGACAACTGTGTGGTGATTGAATTGCACTTCATCTTGTTTTTAGGGCGACGTTAGAAGCTACCAATCCTCACACTATTAGTTTGTAGCGTTTAGTTATTGATAAAGGATTCGCTCTCCGTACTCACCATCACGATGAGCCGCGGTGGCTGAAGGCTTCCCGCTTCAGTTCGTGCGTAAAGTTGATCAGCTGTTCCGTGGGACTCCGGCTAGTAGGGAAATCCATTACTTCCCAAAAGAACTTCACTCGTGGACAAAAAAACTATCCAATCCAAAAGAAAAAGTTGATTGACGAGTTTTGCAACTCATGTTTTTTTTTTTGTTGTTGTTGTTGAGGGGGCTGCTGGTTAGGCCGCTCGGTGAACCGAATGACAAGTAAGTCCAACAGTTGCGACGGAGTGAGTCAAATGGGAAAGGTTTGGTCCAAAGGAGCGGAGCTTCAGGCAGGAGGGACACCGGCGAAAAGCCTCGGAGAACCCGACTGGTCTGTAATGAATAATAATAATACACTTTACACACAAATCACACAATAAGCAACTAAAAAAGTTAAATACTATTACAATTAAATGCTGCCGTTTGGCCAGCTTTATGCTTTTTTTGTTATTAATGATGTCGCAACCACAAAAGATGAGGCAAGCACTACACCTAGTGGACGACGTGCGTTTCAATTTATACATTGACTCCGTGTGTATACAAAAATACAGTACACGTAATACATATATGTTGTTGAATTATGTATTTGTATGTACCTATATGTGAAGTAGTGTGAATTAATAAATTACAATATACATTGTTAATGTAGGGTGAAATCATAAAACTCTCAAAGATGCTATTTGTGCATTCGGCTACTTCTATTTTGAGTCTTTGAGTACCAAATGCTCATAACGTCTCATGATTGTTTTTACTTCAGTAAAACACTTAATTAAGAGCTTGCAGTCTTCCTATGAGATTTTGTTCAATTATATTTTTACATGGCTACTTGCTTCTTGGATGTGAATTCAACCAACGATTACGGTCACTGCAGTTTTATGGGCTTATAAAATGTAACGCGATTGCGAACTACAATTCCCAACAAACGTGTCGCTTAGTGATGACGCACTGACAGAGACCCACTACGAAGGTTGCAAAACAATTGCGTCAGGAAAGTCGCGCAGTTGTTTCTAGAAAGGTGAACGACGAACGTTGCTCTCTCGGTATGTAACATAAACTATACTTTAATGACTAAAAATCAGCCATCTTACGTCTGAAAACGATTTTCTTGTGATAACAGTTCATCTATTTTGTCAGACTGAACGCCGTAATGCCGGAAGTTCACAAAGACTAGCGAAAAAGAGCGTCCAACGCTCGCAGCTAATTTAAGTTAGCATACGACAGGATTGCTAACTTTTAGCGTCAGCTAGCCTATTTAACTAACATTAAATGTTAATATAATTGTCTTAGCTCTTATTACTTCAGCACTCAGACGCTATTGCCATATTGACTCTGTAACCGTAATCACAGCAATGCCAAATGTTGTCAAAACCTGTGTATTATGTCACACAAGTGTCTGTCCTTTACTGTCACGCTACCTGACGCTGTCTTTATATTTCAGACTGAATAATCGATTATGACCATGTTGGTGGCGAGGCTGACGTGCCTGAGGAGTCTTCCTCTCGCCGGGCTGCGTCCTGTGCTGTCACAGGGCTCCGCAGCCCTGAGAGCCCCCACCCTGAAGACCTGTGGCCCCCTGCTCAGGTCACAGCAGGTAACCGTGATGTTGTTACTGCTGCAGCACCACACACACACGTGACTGTTTACTTTGCACCTCTCCGTCAGAAGAGATCATCTAGAATCAAAGTAGATGGGGATTTACTAAAGATTACATCAGATGGTTGGCACTTGATGCAAAGAAAAACTTCTGCATAGGATACATCTAACCCCAAATCTGCCTTTCTTGGTAAAACCACATTGCAATTTGTCATAGATTTTTTGGGGGTTTATGTATATTTTTGTTTTGGTGAGGGATGGATAAAGACAGAAAACTATGGCAATATATTGGAGCAACTCAATGTGTTTTTAAACTATGGTTTGAAAAACAATGGCCTTTACCAAGGTGACCAAAGTTATAATCTTAAAAGCAACCTGCAGGGTAAGAAACTCCAGCCATATATTATAACCAATGGCACAGTAATGTCATTAAAAAAAATCATGTCGGCAGCAATTCAGAGTTCAGAAAGCTTAATAACCACCCTGATATTGAGGGTTTACCTATTTAGAATCGTGCAGCAGATTTCCTGTCCCATTATCACCCCTATTGATTCAATATTCTAAACTCTGACTTTTTAGTGAGAGTTTGAATGGAGTTCAGCACCGCACCCATATCATTCACTGGTTGTTTTTGGTTTTCATTGAAAAGACTGGGTGAAGAAACCCCTTTAACAACAATTTCAGTTTTGTGTAACATGAGTTTTTCTTTCACCAGGGTTATTCGACCAAGGCCAGATTTGGTTTCCGACGTGGGAAAACGACCAGAGACCAGCTGAAAGAAGCAGCTTTTGAACCAGCAACGGATACCGCTATTAAAAGTAATCACTTTTTACACTAGTGAAATATACTTTATCATGTTGTTATACTGTACTGTTTCATGACTGAAGTTTTTTTTTAATATATATCCACTCTCTTGGAAAGGCCACGGCTGTGCCAGTATCAATGTCTCAAATAGCCATTACGCCCAAATCTCCCTAAAACGTCAAACGTTTTAACTTTGACTGTCCCTTTTTTTTATCTGCACCACGTCTAAGAGATTTATTGTGTGCACAGTTGACAGCATGGGAAGAATTATTCTGGCTGGAGGTGCAGCAGTTGGCCTTGGAGCTCTGTGCTACTACGGCCTTGGCATGTCCAATGAAATCGGAGCCATCGAGAAAGCAGTGTGAGTATCGCCTTTTTGGTTTCTGGCTTATTTTTGTTTTGAAAAACTGGTCAAGCGCTCCATATTCACCTGGCTCTCCGCTCTGCGCAGGATCTGGCCTCAGTATGTGAAGGACAGGATCCACTCCACCTACATGTACTTTGCAGGCAGTATTGGGCTGACGGCTTTGTCTGCTGTAGCAGTGAGCAGAACCCCCGCCCTCATGGGTCTGATGATGAGAGGATCCTGGCTGGTAAGCTTTGTAAATCGAGTAGATCACACATGGGTCCTCACTTTTTATTGACATTTATTTTCAAATAAGATTGCAGGCTATTTCACCATGCAGCTGGTTCAGCAATATCTTTATTTTTCAATATTGATAACTTTTTGGTGTCCATGCAGGCTGTTGAAATGAATGGCTGCTGTTTGTTCTGACCCAGGCTATTGGAGCAACGTTTGCGGCGATGATTGGTGCCGGAATGCTGGTTAGGTCCATTTCGTATGAGCACAGCCCAATGCCCAAGCACCTTGCTTGGATGATGCACGCAGGTTTGTCATTATGTTCTCTCTCTTGGCCCCTGTATTCTTATCATGTAGTTGCCTCAATTGGACACTAGAGGGAAGTCCTGTAAAGGCTCAGTCACATCTCCTATTTGCAACCACTACATTCAGACGAATGTCGTGTGTTTTGAATGTGGTCTTAAGATGTCCTTTTGCTTCATCTGTTGATCAGGTGTGATGGGTGCCGTCATCGCTCCCCTGACTCTCCTCGGAGGACCTCTGGTGATGAGGGCGGCCTGGTACACAGCAGGAATTGTGGGAGGTCTGTCCACTGTGGCCATGTGTGCTCCAAGTGAGAAGTTCCTCAGCATGGGCGGGCCGTTGGCTGTTGGCTTCGGAGTGGTCTTCGCCTCCTCTATTGGTTAGTATAATGCATTTGCACCTCCATGAACCGGTCTCAGGTGCACCACAGGCAGTATGGATGCAAGTTAATTGCAGCTGTGGACTGAACTCTTCCAATCCTGAATTCTGAACACAGTAGGAATTGTTTGTCTGTACTCGTTAGTCTCACTGCAAATCTTCTGCTCTTCTTTAGGGTCAATGTTCCTGCCGCCCACGTCAGTGTTTGGGGCAGGCCTGTACTCAGTGGCCGTCTATGGAGGCCTGGTCCTGTTTAGCATGTTCCTCCTCTATGACACACAGAAGGTCATCAAGAGGGCAGAGACACATCCACTCTATGGTGTACAGAAGTATGACCCCATTAACGCGTAAGTCACTCCAGAAAATATTCAATTGTACATGTATTGTAAATGTAGTTTTCAGGCAAACCATGTTCGCTATGGCCTTGCTCAAATATATGTCTTGTGTTCTCTTTTGTCACACAGGTGCATGGGGATTTACATGGACACACTCAACATCTTCATGAGGATGGTGATGATTCTTTCAGGTGGTGGTAGCAAAAGGAAGTAAACTAAAAAAATGTACAATCCACAGCGCTGAACAATTTCCTATCTCGTTACAAGCTGCATACGCCAGGTGTTAACTCTTAGTGACAAGTCTTATCCAACTTAAAAAATACATAATAGCTTTGAAAGAGTGAAAAAGAGTATCGAACTCTGGTGGAAAGAAGACAAACCGTGTAAATTTAAAACGTAGTAAGAGCTCTTTCCCCGAATGTGGCATTTCGGGTTGATCCTGAGGGTTGCAGATGGGTTAAATCTGTCAGCATCATTTTGCTTGCCTGAGTTGTTGTTGGTAATCTTATGTTTTGTATTTATTTCAACTTGATTGTTTCTGTTTAAATGCTAATAAATTCAAGTTTATCTGGTACACGCAGCAGACCGTCGACACACGTCCACCATGCACTGACACAGATTCATATTCATACAGTTCATATATTTCTGAGAAAATGATTCACTCAATAAATACGTTAAAATGTTCTTTTGTCAGAAGTTGCTTCTTGCGATGCCACATGGATCGTTTATAATAAACCAAATATATACATTGCATTGCTTCTGGTGAAACATGTTGTTTACTTAATGGCTGTCATTTTAATAGGATAATGTCGAAAAGAATGGACTTATCCAACAATGGTATAATCCACTCAATTGTTTGAAAAATCTTAATCATTTAAATTTTAGTTGCCTTTCTGTCAACATTACAAATTAGTTCAGTAACCTGCAATACTAATAGCACAAACGCAACTTCCACACTACCATTAATTGTGAGCTTTTTAAAGTATTTGCAACACCCTCTAGCAGCTGTTCCTATATGAGCCCAAACCTAAACATAGAACTTGTACTATTCGCCAGCAGCTCTGACCAGTCAGAGAAGCACCGGCAACGTCCACCTTGTATTCGCTTCCCACCCGTCAGTGTGTAGCCGCAGACGACAAAGGCTTAGCGAAGTAATCCTCTTGTCCACCAGCTGGCTGCTCCTCTAAAATTAAACCTTCAAACCAGGACACTTGCAACAGACGCTAACATCTGTAAATGTCCAGGTGCTTTATTAAAGCACGTACACATGGAGCAAACAGCTGTCAGGAAGTGTTTGAATCTCTCAC